CCCCCCTACATGAACAAACCACTTTCAACGGACTGACTAAGAGGTCAAGCTCTCGAGCCTATTTAGGGTTTGGAGTTTAGGGTTATGTAGCAACAGCTCGCTGAGTGATTTGGGGAAGCGTCAACCCCGAAACCCTTAGACTACCCTACACCCCTAAACCCTAAACCCCAAAACCCCAAAACCCCTGAGCCCCTGAACCCCTAAATCCCTAAACCGTCATGCTGCAAGCCGCCCTTGGGCCAAAACCTCCCAGTTCTTTCTTGCCGCTCTGCGCTGTGAGATTTTATCCCGGCTGAAGGCTCCTCTCAAAGTCCTCGTAGAATCGTGCCTGGGCGTGTTTGAAGGTTCCTGGATAGGTACAAGTAGGGTTATAAGTAAGGTCACCCATATTTACATCCAGAATTCAGGCACTTAGAAGCCCACTGATAACTACCCGTGAACCTTCAAGCAGGTGATAAGGGGACTTAGTGTTTAGGGAATGCAGCCGCTTCTTGCGTGCCATTTTCCCAGCTGCCGTCGTTTAGGGTCCAGGGTTTGTACGATAAACCCCTAGACCTCTACCCCCTAGTGCCCCAAAACGGTCTGAAAGTTCACAACCTCCAACCCCTAAACATCCGAAAGCCCTCACAATACTGAAAGCAAAACCCCCCCCCCCCCCCCCGAAGCCAACCAGCAAAAGGAGCCGTCTCCGCAGTGATCCGAGGCTTCACCGTCCTCGGGGTTTAGGGGTTTAGGGGTTTCGGGGTTTAGGGTTTAGGGGTTTAGGGGTTTAGGGGTTTAGGGGTTTAGGGGTTTAGGGGTTTAGGGTTTAGGGGTTTAGGGGTTTAGGGGTTTAGGGGTTTAGGGGTTTAGGGGTTTAGGGGTTTAGGGTTCAGGGGTTTAGAGGATTAGGGGTTTAGGGTTTAGGGCTCGGGGGCACAGCTGTGGCTGCGGGGCTTAAGGTTTTAGGGCTTTGGTTGTGTGTTGTTTTATTGAGCTTTATTTTGAGCTTTCGAGATAGGAGGGTTTTTCAAAAATCGTTTTAAACCCTTCACCCAAGGATTTCAGCCAGCTGAAATCCTTGACAATCTGGGTGGTGGGGTTGAACGAAGCAAGCAAGGGAGATACGGTCGGATCCCGTTGTCGTTGACTTGCTTGAGAAGTTTTCGCAAGATGGCTCTCTTCTCACGATGGACTTTTCGAAGGCTTTCGACCTGTTGGACCTTGCTGTCACTGAACAGTTGTTGTGGCGCATGCGTTGGCCTCTCGGCTTGTTTGCTGTTTTTACAGTTGGTCTTTGGTGGCACCTGCTATGTTCAAGGTGAACCTAGGAGGTCCCTTATCATGACCATTTGGGGTCATGATCGGTGGCTTTGTTGTTGAATGCCATGGCGCTTTGACGCGTGTTTGTTTTGACGATCGCAGCATGGTTGCTTCTTCCGCTATGAAACCAAAACTGCAGTGATTGGCAGAAGCTTGAATGAAGCGCTGCAAAGAGCTCATCGACGCCTTTGGTGGTGACAGGTTCAAGACCCATGTTGAGCTTCTTGGTGGGTCCTCGATGTCCAATCAGAGGTCGGTTGGTCCGAAGCAAGATGCAGCGGGTTGATGCTTGCTTGATTACGGTTTGCTTGCTTTCGTACATCCGCTTGCCTTTCGCTCGCTGCATGGCTCTCGTCGTGCGGCTTCTGCCACTCCGTGGTTGTGTGCGGCCCTTCTTGGTGGCAACATGCACCTTGACATCTTGTTTGCTACTAAGTTCGTCGGCACTCTTGCTCGAGCTCGTTTGAAGCGTGGGGTTTTGGGTTGTTTTTAGGGAAGTAACTTAACCAAGCCTTAAAGCCCTAAACCCAGAACCCCACAGCGTTGTGGAGCGTTGGGGTTCCTATAGGGTTGCAGGGAACGCCAGTAGAAGGGGATTTTTCCTTCAAGTCAAATCCAAAGTTTTTAAGTGTGCCACTCCATGCCAGCACCCTGAGAAAAGGGCGCGCGGAAGCTGCTTTTCAGGCCACGCAGCACGACATGCTCTTACGAAACACGAAACACGAAACACGTGTCTTTGAAGAGGGGCTCGCCTGACCACTGGAATGTTCTCCCTTATACTAACAGTCCTTCATAGGGATTGTTGTACATAATCCCTGTAAAAGGACTGTTAGTATAAAACCCTAAACCCTAAACCCTAAACCCGGGGAAACATCCCAACTGACCACTCCAAACACCCAACAGCCCGATACAGCCCCGCAAGAAAACCCAAGAACCCTGTAAGCTGCGCCACCGGGCCCTAACCCCCAAACAACTCAACCCTAAATTTAGGGTTTAGGGTTTAGGGTTTAGCCCTACAGTAAACTCCACAAAGTTGGATTATCCTCATCCCCATCCCGCACATGGTATACGAAAGGGAATTCCAGCTGGGCGCCCTCTAATCATCCTGTTCCAACTTACTGGAGCTTACTGTAAATCCTTAAACCCTTAACCCTAAACCCTAAACCCTGCACCCTAAATCCTAAACCGAGAATCTGCAGGGCGCGCTCGAAGTGCGCCGGAGTCGCGCAGGGCGGCACCTGAGCGCAAGGCGGTCTAGGGTTTTAGGGCCTCAGGGATTTTCAGGGTTTTAGGGTATAAGATCTAGGGTTCGGGGTCTCAGGTGCTAGGGTCTGGGCTCGAAGGCTGTAGGGGGCTTTAGGGCTTGGGGTTTAGGGTGGAGGGTGGCCCCTAAACTTCCAATGGCCTGCTCCATAGGCTAGAAGAGCCCAACAATGAGCGGTTTAGGGTTTAGGGCTTAGGTTTTAGGGTTTTGGTTTTCGGGTCTAGTTGGAAGTACCCTAACCCAAAACCCAAAACTTTAGACCCTAAACTTCCGTAAGCCCTAACCGTAAGCCCGTTAGGGTGTGGGGTTCTGGGTGGTTCAAGCACGGTGTAGTTGGGGTGTAGCTCGGGATGCAGTGACAGGGTTCAGGGTTTGGGGTTTGGATTTCCAGCGCTAGCACTACAAGCCTGCTTCAACAGAACACGCTACATCCCTGAACCTGATAAACTCTAAACCTTAAAACCTAGACCTTATAAAGCCCAAACTAGGATGGCACCCCTATGGTGAACTCACATGTCCTTGCTAGTGCTTATAGTAGGTACCTAGAGAGAATAGGTCTTCAAAGGGCTCAGGGTTAGCGTTCAGGGCCTATACCCTAAACCCTATATGGGGGTTTAGGGTTTAGGGTCTAGGATTTCAACGCCTTATATCAGATTGAACAACATAGAATTTGCATACATTGGTGTACAATACAGCATTTGAAACAACATGAAATGTTCTACCCGAAGCCCTCAAGCAAGCATCCCGCCTCCTGGCCCTCTCCAGCCCCTAAGACGTCGCGGATAGCCAACAGCGCCGCCTCTCGGCAGACCATAACGACCTTCGAGCAGGGTTTAGGGTTTAGGGTTTAGGGTTTAGGGTTTAGGGTTTAGGGTTTAGGGTTTAGGGTTTAGGGTTCAGGGTTTAGGGTTTAGGGTTTAGGGTTTAGGGTTTAGGGTTTAGGGTATAGGGTATAGGGTTTGATTTAGGGTTTAGGAATGAGGGTTTAAAAACCCTAAACCCTTAGGAGACGGGTTGGAGTTTGCGGAGCCAGCCTCAGCGCCGCTGTAGCCTGCTGTTTGTAGGACCTGCGAAGCAAAGGACCGTCAACTCCTGGGTTCCCCTCTATGGGAGGGTTTAGGGTTTAGGGTTTAGGGTTTAGGGTTTAGGGTTTAGGGTTTGGGGTTTGGGGTTTGGGGTTTGGGGTTTAGGGCTTGTGGTTTAGGGTTGAGGAACTGTGAGTTTAGGGTTTAAGATTTGGGGTTAGGGGTTTAGGATTTGGGGTTGAGGATTTGGGGTTTAGGGTTTAGCATTTGGGGTTTAGGTTTTAGTGTGCTCGGTTCCCCACGTACAAAAAGTCTTACAGGATTGGGATTCTGAGGTTTAGGGATTGAATAGGGTACTAGTTGGGGATGTTTCCTGAATACCACCAGTCCTTAATAGGGATTACAGTACCCCCCCCCCCTATCATAATTAAGGACTGCTTAGTACAAGGGGGAAACATCCCCAGAGACTAGGTTCCTTGAATGGTGCCCTAACCGGATTTCAGAGTTTGTGGGGTGTTTTGGAGGGCTATATCACAGGGCAGAATCACCATGTAAAGTACCCTGCCTAAACCCTAAGCCCCAAACGCTCCCCGAACCCTCTCGCCTTCGGTTGGCACCGCGCGATCAAAGCTCCCCACGCGACCCCAACGACGTACCGAGAGCCTAAACCCTGAACCCCTCTTCCTCGCAACCCTAATCCTATGAATCCCCAAACAGCCTCCCAAAGGCGAACCCTCCAGCCTCAACGTTCTCGAATCATAATTAATAGTAGTCATAACAAGAATAGGTTCGCGGAGCAACGTTTAGGGATTAGGGGGAGGAGTTTGTGAGTTTAGGGTACTTGAAGGCTCACGGGTGACGCTAAGTGGGGTTATAAGTAGGGCAACCTATATTTGAACCCTTATATTTACCGAAAACCAAAACCCCAAACCCTGAACCCCAAACCCTCAACCATGAACCTTCAAGCAGTACTCCCCAACTCCACCCTTATTTCGGAGCTCCTTTGAGCCTCCTTGGGATCCTCCAAAAGCTCCCTGAACCCTCCCCAAACCCCCTAAGCCCCCCCTAAACCCCTAAACCTCCTGTCGGGTTGGGGTTGAGGGTTTAGGGTTTAGGGAACCCTAAACCTCCTAACCACAAACCCTCAACTTTCCCTCTGTCCCGGCCAGGGAGGAGGGCAGCACTTCGGGCGATGCGCGCATGCGCGTCAACCTGGGCTTAGGGTTTACGGTTTTAGGGGAGGCTCCCAAACCCTCAACCCTTGGACCCAAACCCCCTAAACCACTAAACCCCGAAAACCTACACACTTGAACCGCTAAACCCGGGTCTCTTTCGGCAGCTGGATCTAGGGCTAGAGGTTTTAGGTTTTGGAGGGTGTGGGGTTTAGAGTCTAGAGGGTTTGGTGTTTGGAGGAGTTTGGGGTTCGGGCTTAGAGGGTTTATATAGAGGCTTAGGGGTTAGAGGGTTTAGGCGGTTAAGAGTAGTTGAGGCCTTAGGCTAGGGCTTCTTGGCTATGATGTTCCAGGAATTCCGTTTCCTTGGCTTGGGGTCGATTGTTTTAGGGTTTACGTAGGCTTCGGGTTTAACTAAAACATGGAGTTCCGCCGGTTTGGGGTCCAGGGTTTAGGGTTTAGGCTTTACTAAGCTTGCAGTTTTTAGACGGTTTTGTAGCGCTTAAGCGGGGAGTGTTGGTTGAAAGCTTCCGAAAAGGCATCTGCAAAACTAATCTGCTCCAACAGCTTGAGGCTTGTTTTTGTCAACAACGTGTCGCCAACTTCTGCAGGTAGCTTTGCAAGTCCAAATCTTGCCACATGGCGATGTGAATGACCATAAACGCGACGTCTTCTGCGAAACCAGACCAGCCATCACGAGCACGCATGAGCTGATACACCGGCAGACTCCAAAAGAGCACGGCCTCGCCACTGATGTCGTCCGGAGGTGCAACCCCAGCAGAACGCACCTACAAGTGGCAGACTTGCCACCGCAAGCACGGATGCTCAACTCAAGTGTGCCTTGTAGACTGTGTCGAACCTGATTGTGCAAGAGAGGCTGTCGTTACACATGCTTCCACCCACGCTGTGTAACCTCTTCAAGAAGTGCGTGCCCGCCGGGGGGGGGGGGGGGGGGGGGCGGCGACATGGACAGTCTTCAGCCGCAACTTAACGAACACTGCAATCCCCAACGCTCTAGACTTTCTTCAACACCTCAATTCCTTAAGTCTGGTTTTGCAAAACCTCGTGCCCGGGAGCCCCAAAAAATCTATGCTCCCCGAAGCCTCAAACCTCAGGCCTAGGAGCTGTGTCATGCCAGACTTGGCTTTGGGGAAAGAGCACCCGCCGACCCTATATAACCCGACTTAAAGCGTATACAGGGTGACGTAAGGTACCGAAATCCCTACTTCCCTAGAAGAACTACTGTAGGGTTAAGGGTTTAGGGTTTAGGATTGAGGGTTCAGGGCCTAAATCCAACATAGGTCCCAGCCGCTGCCGCTCGAAGATGGCAAGCCGGGCATCTGCATCCTCGGTTGTCCACAATGGCACCCTGGGATTTTCAAGCCCGGTTTAGGGTTTAGGGTTTAGGGTTTAGGGTTTAGGGTTTAGGGTTTAGGACCCCCAAACCAACAAGCAACTGAAGCTCTCTGCCCAATTCCCCACAACGCCAGAAGCCCGCCAAGAAACCCAAAACCCAACGAGCAAAAGCCCAAAATCCATGCACCTGCTTAGGGTGATGGGTTTGGGGTTTAGGATTTAGGGTTTAGGGGTCTTTTGGCAACTGGACCCGAAACTCAAACAGAATCGCACACCTTATAAGTCCCAAAACCCCTTAAACCCTCTAAACCCCCCGAAATATTCAAAGCCCAAACCCCTAAACCTGAACCCCAAACAACCCTAAAGCTCCAGATCCTGACCCAACAAACAGCCACGGCTCAGGCAAAGGGACGTGTACGAGCCGGTCGAAGCCTTGGCTGCGTTGAGTGGGGTTTTAGGGTTAGGGTTAGGGTTTAGGTTTAGGGTTTAGGGTTTAGGGTTCAGGTTTTAGGATTTAGGGCTTCAGGGCTTGAGGATCTTAGGGTTTGGGGTTCGGGGTTTAGGATTTAGGGCTTAGGGTTTCAGGGCTTTACGGTTTGTGGTTTGGGAGTGTATTAATTTTAAGTTCAGGAACTACCCATGAGACTTCAATGTAGGGTTGAGGGTTTAGGGTTTACGGGTAGTTGTGAGGTAGTGTTCTCAGTACCAAACTTATGGTTCTAGTATGGGTCACCTTACTTGTAGCCCTATAAACCCTAAACCCTAAACCCTAAACCCTAAACCCTGAACCCTGAACCCTAAACCTTAATGTAATGTTTCGGGGCTTTGGCATGCTCTGCGGCTTAAGGTTGTTTGGTTGGGATGTTCCCCCTTGTACTAACATTCCTTAATAAGGATTACAGTACCCCGGTTTATGGTGTAAGGTTTGGGGTTTAGGGTTTTAGGGTCGATTATAATCCCTATTCAGGACTGTTCGTATATGGGGGAACATCCCCGACTGTTCGGGTTCAGAACTTCAGCGTTCCAGGTTTTTGGAGTGTAGGGTTTAGGTCTTCAGGTTTCTTGGGAAGGCTTCAGATTGCAAGATGTGGATAACATCTAGATTATGAGAGCACCCTTTAGGGTTCATGTATATTTATATTGGAAACTAGAAACCCAAGAAATGGGAGGGCAAAAGGTGCACCACTGGACCAAGCCCACGAACCATGGAGCCGTAAGAATGCGAAACCCTGCAGCCCCAAGCACACATGCGGGGCTAAAGCCTAACCCCCAAACCCCAAAGTCCCCAAGCCCCTAAACCCCTAACCCGCTAGACCCCTAAACTCTAACCCTAAACCTAAACCCCTAACGCCGCCACCAACACCTTGGCCGCTAGCTCCTGTAGCTGCCGCTGGCACTGGCACCACTTCATGCAACTCCTTCGGTGCTGCTCTCCATGGGCCTTAAGACACTGCCCAGCAGTTTCCCATAAGGTACGCGGTGTTCGGAGTCGGGGCTAGCCGACTGAGCCGAAGTCTGCCTGTCCGTGCCATCGCGACAATACAAAAACCCTAAAACCCTAAAGCCCTCAAACCCCATAGACCCCTAAACCCTAAAACCCTAAAAACCTAAAACCCCAAAACTCCAAAACTCCAAAACCCCAAAACCCCAAAACCCCAAAACCCCAAAACCCCAAAACTCCAAAACTCCAAAACCCCAAAACCCCAAAACCCTAAAACCCTACAACCCTAAAACCCTAAAACCCTAAACCCTAAAACCCTAAAACCCTAAACCCTAAACCCTAAAACCCTAAACCCTAAAACCCTAAAACCCTAAAGCCCTAAAGCCCAAAAACCCTAAAACCCTAAAACCCGAAAACTCGAAAACCCTAAAGCCCTAAAACCCCCAAACCCTAAAACCCTAAAACTCTAAACCCTAAACCCTAAACACCAAACCCAAAACCCTAAACCCTAAACCCTAAACACCAAACCCCAAACCCTAAACCCTAAACCCTAAACCCTAAACCCAAAACCCAAAACCCTAAACCCTAAACCCTAAGCCAGGCCACGCCCTGGGCGCACCAGCGCCGCATCCAAGGCCTGGGGTCGGTTCGTGGCGCCGAGGACCTCGGGCTTTGAGTTTGTGCTTTGCTTTTTTTGTTGAGGGTTTGGGGTTTAGGGTTTAGGGTTTGGGGCTTAGGGTTTGGGGTTTAGGGTTTGGGGTTTGGGGTTTGGGGTTTGGGGTTTGGGGTTTGGGGTTTAGGGTTTAGGGTTTGGGGTTTGGGGTTTGGGGTTTGGGGTTTGGGGTTTGGGGTTTAGGGTTTGGGGTTTAGGGTTTAGGGTTTGGGGTTTGGGGTTTGGGGTTTAGGGTTTGGGGTTTAGGGTTTGGGAAATTGGGGTTTAGGGTTTAGGGTTTAGAGTTTGGGTTTGGGTTTAGGGTTTAGGGTTTGCTGTGATAGGGCGTAGGTGCTGTGAAGGTTAGGTTTCGGAACAAGCTCGAAAGCTTCGTGAGGTGCGAAGAGCAGCTTTGGCCCGATTGTGGAGGGCCATCTTACACTTTTCTCCCACCCCACGCCGTCCGAGGCGGCAAAGCCGCACAAACCCATTCCTTTTAGGGTTTAGGCCTAAACTCAAGGTAACAGCTCACTTCAAAAAAACTATTCAGCTTCATGACGTTCGGGGTTGGGTCTGGTCCTGACCCCCTCTGACCCCCCTGGCCTCCCAGGCCTCCCAGGCCTCCCTGGCCCCCTGGCCCGCCCATGCTGTGGGAGGCGGGCGAACGTTTCAGGGTTTTTCGCTTAGTTGTTTGCAGGGTTTAGGGTTCAGGTTAAGGGCTTCGGTTTATTGGGGTTAATGGTTTAGGGGTTGAAGGCTTGTTTCGGATTGTTGGGCTTATTTGGGGTTTTGGAAGGGTTTCACGGGCTTTTGAGAGCTTAGGGGTTTCAGCGTGTAGGGTTTAAGGGTTTGAGGCTCTCGGATTATTTTGGTAAAGGTATGGCGTTAAGGGTTTAAGGATTATGGCTTCAGGATTTCGGGTTTCAGGGTTCAGGGGTTTAGGGTTTATGGGGTTTGGAGGTTTTTGGGGTTCAGGGGTTTAGGGCTTTAGAGCTTGAGCCGGTGCAGGGATTAGGGAGGAATGGTTTTCAGGGTGTCAGGTTTAGGGTTTAGGGTTTAGGGTTTACTTGGAGGTTACTTACTAACCCTGCACTAGTAACCATATTAGAGCACTTAAGGGGCTTATAAGTGGGTTATAAGTACAGTTATAATTGGTGAATAAGTGCCATGCACCTCCAAGTAGGGTTTGGGGCTTAGGGCTTGGGATTTAGTAAAGAGCTGCTGAGTATCGTCAAGTTTGCCTGTCGCTGCTTGGGGTCCAGAGTCAGTTCCCGTATAAAGTCCGGGAGGCGACATTCAAGGCACGTAAGGAACCGTAGGGGGAGGGGGGGGGGGGTATTTGGGGATTATTTTGGGGCTACTTAGGTATATAGGGACTATATAAGGTGTTTTTAGGGGTTTATTTTGGGGAATAAGATCAAGGGTCCCTTCAAGGGGTCCCTCCTTACACTCCTGAAGACATTGTTGAAAGAAAATCAGGGTTCGTCGTCTTGAAATGAAGCCAACGGTACATAGGGTTCTAAGTCAGGCAACTTAACTAGGGTACGTATCACAGCACTGCTTAACCGCAGACACTGGACGGCCCTAACACCCTAAAACCAAACTGAGCCCAAAACCCTAAACCCTAAATGCTAACCCCTTAACCCTAAAGCCTAAAGCCTAAAGCCTAAACCCTAAACCCTAAACCCTAAAGAGCGCAGTCCGAAGGGCCACCACGTGCCGCGTGGTGCTGCCAGCCGTCGCGGCCCCTATCCTCAGGCCACCGGAAAGGTTAGGGTTTAGGGTTTCGGGTTTCGGGTTTAGGGTGTAGCGTGTAGGGTCCAGGGTCTAGGGTTTAGAGCCCTAAGCCCAAAAATGTTCAAAGCCCTCAGGGTCGAGGGTTACAGGGTGTGGGGAGGCTTAGGGCTAAACCCTAAACCCTAAACCCTAAACCCTAAACCCTAAACCCTAAACCCTAAACCCTAAACCCTAAACCCTAAACCCTAAACCCTAAACCCTAAACCCTAAACCCTAAACCCTAAACGACGTTCCCTGCAGAGGCGCCCATCCATCTCTGCAAGCAGCTGCGCCAGCACACGCGAGGAGACGCCTCCTCCCTCGCTCTCACGGCTGGCACCCAGGGCGTCGACCTCCCACGTCGATTTCGGGTTTTCGGGCTTATCCGAACCAGGTTTTAGGGTTTATAGGGTTTAGGGTTTACGGTTTAGGGTTGAAAAAGGGCTTCCAAGACTTCAGGCAGGATCTGGGAAAAGCTCGTGGGGGTTTCCGAGGCTCAGGAATCACGGGCGAAAGGCCCCTTGATCAACAACCCATGGACTCGGGGACAGGGGTATTGCGATAAACCCTAAACCCTAGACCCTAAACCCAAAACTCTGAACCTTGAACCCTAAACCCTCAACCCTAAAACCCTAGTCGCGGCCAGGGTGGTTGCACACGCCGTTTGCCCACGCCCGACTTGACACAGAGGCGTCGTAGCACAACCTCCAATAGTTCAATAGGCGTCCCTGCATGCGATAGTATAACAACCCAAGCGTTCTTCGTGGTCATCTTGGCTTGCCGCAGCTTTTCGATACATTGGCTTCAAATGTGTCCCTTTGCAACGACCCAGTGCAGCAGATGCCACATTTTTGGCTCTTTGTCCAGTGTACCCGGCCACACCCGCTCTTCGACCACCGGGGTGACATCACCTGAAGGATATAACCCTAAACCCTAAACCCTAAACCCTAAACCCTAAACCCTAAACCCTAAACCCTAAACCCTAAACCCTAAACCCTAAACCCTAAACCCTAATAATTCAGGCTTCTAGGGAGCAGGGAAATTTGCCTCTCGAAGAGGGTTCAGGGAAGAACCGGACCAACCGCCTCCAAACCCTAAACCCCAAACCCTAAACCCTCAACCCTCAACCCAAACCCTAAACCCTCAACCTTAAACCCTAAACCGCGATCCTGTTTGAGAGCCGGGGTTTGTTTGGGGTTTGGGGCTTACCGGGTCTAGGTTGCCTCTCGAAAAGGGAACCGGACCAAAAGCCTCCAAACCCTAAACCCTAAACCCTAAACCCTAAACCCTAAACCCTAAACCCTAAACCCTAAACCCTTCAACTGGGGTCGAAGGTGCAGGGGATTCTCTTGACAGCGCCTTCCCGAAACCCTAAACCCTAAACCCTAAACCCTCAACCCTAAACCCTCAACCCTAAACCCTCAACCCTAAACCCTACAACTGGGCTTTCTTGGGGGCCCTCGGGTCTGGCCGTCCCCGCTCCTCGTCGAAGAACACGACGCAGGGCGCCGCCGTGCGCGCCTTTGCCCAGGGTTTCCATTTGTTTTGCATTTTTGGTTCTACTTATAAAGGGCTGTAGGGTTTAGGGTGTAGGGTTTGGGGTAGTGGTTGAGGGGTTGAGGGCTCAGTTTCTTTACTCCTTTACATCAAAGGGCTGATTTTTACTTGTTGGGTTTAGTACAGGTTTTAGGGGTTTTGGGGGGGTTTAGGGGGTTTAGGGGGTTTGGGGGGTTTGGGGGGTTTAGGGGGTGGGGGTTAAGGGGGTTTTGGGGGGGTTTGGGGAGGGTTTAGGGGGGCTTCGGGGGTTTCAGCGCTCAGATTTCATGTTTCCTTAAAAACCAAGGGCCGCCTGTCCCGAGAATACACAGCGGCGCGGTGGAGGATGCCGTGGATGCGGAGCACAGTTGAAAATTGACGGCTTAAGCCTTTAATAACTTTAATACGCGCCGGAGGTGTTATAGAAAAAGATCATGGTGTCAGAATTTAAGATGGCATCGCGCACGGATGGTGGCCAGAACTTGCCTTTGAGACGCTTCAACTCCGACTTCATGGCTCCGTACTGCTTTTCATAGAAGGGTCGAGCATGAGGACGGCTGTCCTTCAAAGTCACTCCTGGCAGCCACTTGCTCATCTTGGCTTCGCGTAACTGAATGCCCGTCTCTGACACCTCTTCAAACATCGGTAGAGTTACCCACACTGCATTTGGCGACTTCGCCACGCCATCACGGATCAGCTCATTCAGTGAGAGCCGAAGCCCAAACTTGTGCAAGACCAACTTGGTGTGCGACCACCAGTCAGCAGGATTGGCGCCCACTCCGCCAATTAGCTTCTGCTCGGCTTCTTGGACGATGCTCTTGTGAAGCCTTGTAGAATTCATCTTCATCACGGCTTGGCAAGATTCAGTGTTGACTCCTGGTCCGCAACGGTGTTGACAGTAGGCCGCTAAGAGTTGTGGCGCTAGCCTTCGAACGCCAGATGCGATCAAGCACCAGTTGCTGGGGGTGCAAGTCGTGAGGTTCTGTGCTTCTGGACAGTAGCGAAAGCGAAACGGATTGTGGCAGCGGACAACGTTCTCAGGATCTTTGCCGTTCTCACGGAACCAGGCCTTCATGCCATACAATGCTGCTGCGCTTCCTGTTTTCGGAATGCTGAAGACGAAGACCCGTGCTGGAGCAGCGTTCTCATAGTCACCGGTGACTGTCGCCATGCCAAGGTTTGCCCACCCTCTGCTTGACTTGACGGCGGAGAGAAGAAACGGCAGTAGTACTAGTAGCAAACCAACAGCAGCGAGCCCTGCCATACGGAGGCGCGACATCTTAGAACGCTGCGTGACACATGCCTGTCTCAACCTTACCCTTAACGGGCTGTTCTTTTACTTGTTGAGTCTAGTATAGGGTTCAGGGGTTTAGGGGTTTAGGGGTTTAGGGGGTTGAGGGGGTTGAGGGGGGTTTAGGGCTGAAAGGGTGGGCTCGCACTAGAAGCCCTCATCCGAGAGCCCTTAAGGCCAGAAGACCCCAAACGCACATGACGGTTGTGCCTATTCTGCCTGCATAGAGAAAAAGTCCGGGGGAGTGCCTATGCACACATGCCCACAAACAGTTGTGCCTACGCCCACCAAGGGCTGTAATATATACATATATATATATATATATATATATTTTATATTTATTTATTGATTTACTTAATCTTTATACATTATATATATATATATATATTTATTTATTATAGGTAAGACCTTCTATCACCGGCCTCCGCGAGTAAGGCCTCAGACTCCACCAAACCCAAAAACCTTGACCCAAAACCCCCCTAAAACCCTAACCCCTCAACTGCAAGCCCCTAAACCTACCCTTGGGTTTGGGGGACCCTTTTTTTCGAAAGGGTTTAGGGTTTAGGGTTTAGGGTGTAGGGTTTAGGGTTTAGGGTTTAGGGTTTACTCCCTAAACCCTGCACCGCCTTCCGGAAGACGTCGCGCACGGCCCGCTCGCTGTCGCCCACGTATTTGGAGAAGAGCTCCGGGCCCTGTCACTCCAGGGTTTAAGGTTTAGAGTTTAGGGTTTACGGTATGCGGTTACATGTGGGGTTTCCAAGATAAGGGGCACCCTTCCTGTAGTAGGGGTTTGAGTTAGAGTATGCGGGGGGTATACTAGGGATACCTTGATTTAGGAAATTACCAGTTAGGGTTTTAGGGCTTCGGCTGACGTCTAGGACCAGTTTAGATAGCACGACTTACCGGCTGGGTGTTTCGGGTCTAGTGCCTATTGAAACGCCTTTTGGTTTTAAAGGGCTTCATGATACCCAAAATGCTTCAACATGACCTGCCTCCTCAAAACTAAAACCCTGAAAAACGAAAACACATGGAAACCCTAAATGCTAAACACACACTTCGCCGCGAACCCACAAAACCTAGACCTCCCCCTAACCGAGAAGGATACCTGTAAGGTGGGCCTAGTTATTGCACATACTATATCCCTACATACTTCCCGAAACCCTGCACCCTACACCCTAAACCCTAAGCTTCTAGAGCTACCCATGAACCTTCAAGGCAGCCCTGAGCTCTCAGCCCTCAGCTTGAAGCCCGAACCCTCAAGCCGCACCCCACCTTGATGGAAATGAAGTTCATCTCGGTCTCTGTGGCAACAGCCTTCGCCATCCTGGTTCTTCTAGGGCTTGGGTGTGTTTGGTAGGGTTTAGGGTTTAGGGTTTAGGGTTTAGGGTTTGGGGTTTGGGGTTTAGGGTTTAGGGCTTAGGGCTTAGGGCTTAGGGCTTAGGGTTTAGGGTTTAGGGTTTAGGGTTTAGGGGTTAGGGGTTCCGGGTTTAGGGTTTAGGGCTTAGGGTCGGAGGTTTAGGGACTTAGGCATTTAGGGATCTGTAGGGTTGAGGGCCTTGAGGACTTGGGGACCTAGACCTCAAGATTGGGTTTAGGGTTTAGGGTTTAGGGTTTAGGGTTTAGGGTTTAGGGTTTAGGGTTTAGGGTTTAGGGTTTAGGGTTTAGGGTTTAGGGTTTAGGGTTTAGGGTTTAGGGTTTAGGGTTTAGGGTTTAGGGTTTAGGGTTTAGGGTTTAGGGTTTAGGGTTTAGGGTTTAGGGTTTAGGGTTTAGGGTTTAGGGTTTCGTTTTTTACATCCAAACTTTGGGCTTCGTCGTGCTCCGCCCCTTCTCGGAACAGCTGGCAGAATGGGAAATCTGCAGTGGGAGCTTCGCAGATGATAGAAAAGTCTAACGCCCTGAACCCAACGACCCCGGAGAAGTCTCAGGGAGTCCATTTGTTTAGGGTTTAGGGTTTAGGGTTTAGGGTTCAGGGTTTGAGGGTTTAGGGTTTAGGGTTTAGGGTTCAGGGTTTAGGGTTCAGGGTATCGGGATGCCACACCCTAGCCCCTTGGGCCAGGGAGGTCTCCTAAACCCCAAATCCCGAACCCTAAACACTAGAACCCCTTCCCTGCCCAAAATTGGGCTGTGAACAGGTCGCGGGAAAAGGTGAGTTTAGGCCCAAACCTTAACAGTAACGGGTCAGGGTGGCTTGGCCGCCTAAGACGGCGTGGGGGTTGTGAAAATGAGACATGCCCCTCCGCGATCGGGCCGTAGCTGGCTTTCTTTCGGGGCCTACTCTGCATCCCAACCTCGCAGCTTCTGCGCCGCATCACAGCAAACCCTCAACCCCCTAAACCCCCTAAACCCCCTAAACCCCCTAAACCCCCTAAACCCCCTAAACCCCCTAAACCCCCTAAACCCCCTAAACCCCCTAACCCCTAAACCCCCTAAACCCCCTAAACCCCCTAAACCCCCTAAACCCCCTAAACCCCCTAAACCCCCCCTAAACCCCCTAAACCCCCTAAACCCCCTAAACCCCCTAAACCCCCTAAAAACCCCTAACCCCCTAAACCCCCTAAACCCCTAAACCCCTAAACCCCCTAAACCCCCTAAACCCCTAAACCCCCTAAACCCCCCTAAACCCCCTAAACCCCCTAAACCCTAAACCCCTAAACCCCTAACCCCTAAACCCCCTATAAAAAACCCCCTAAACCCCTAAACCCCCTAAACCCCCTAAACCCCCTAAACCCCCTAAACCCCCTAAACCCCCTAAAAACCCCCTAAAACCCCCCTAAAACCCCTAAACCCCCTAAACCCCCTATACGGGGGCAACCAAAAGGGGACTAACCAGGGTATCAACCCCCAACAGTTGCCTGAATGAATTTCCCAGAACGAACCAGAAAGACAAACCCACAGGGTTAAAGTTCACCAGGTCAAAGGAAGGGGCACCCTTACACAAGTAGAGGGGCACTAACCCAACCCTCACTCCCAAACACGGACTTTTTCTTTTGGACGGACTGGCCATCCTTGAGCCATAAAAGATTTCCGGGTACGTTGACCCTTCCAACTCCCAACACTAACTCCTTTCTACAATACCAGCTGCAGCTCCGCACTCCCCCTGTCCTAGGATTTCCTAGGACACATTGGAGGTGCAGATCTTTGGCCAAAAACTGCCATTAGGGCAGCAGCCAGCTGCTTGAAATGCACAATATGGTTTTACGTCATCCAGGACGGAATTATAGCACATTGGCTAAACCCACTAACCACAGAGAATCTTTTTTTCCACCATGATCCTCTTATCATTGAAGACTCTTCGGCCTTCTTCACCACAAACCGTGGTCTTCGCTACGCGAAAAACTACTGACTTCTACTATCAGGGATTTCCATACCCTTAATAGTAACCACCACATTTTCAGCGCATTGGCCGATCCAGCGCACCTGTTTCCAGAAAGAGAAAAACCATCCCTTCATCATCCAGTCACTTCTTTTTCCGATGGTTTGCAATACTGAGGTGAAGTTGCAGCAGAATATACTCTAGGTCCGAAACTGTAAGAACAGGATCCTGCACGCACCTTTGAATTGAGGATACCAATCCTTCTCTCTTTGCGTCCTCAATCGCTTGGCAAGACTAAGATTGACCAAGCTCTGCATTCACAGTGGTAGACGCTTGCGCATCCACATCAGAGGGACGATCCTTTTCCTCAGGACCTTTCACCACTACCACCTCTTCCTTTTTGGGGCTCTGACTTTTCTCCTTCTTCTTCGTCTTTCCACCGACGTTTGACTTTGTGCGCATTTTCGAGGCTTTTTCCCCTGCAGAAACCACCGCATTGGATGATGATCCACCCTTCTCAATGTTCGCCGGCATCTTCTTCGGCTTTGGAACCATGAGAGTATAAGGATCTTCGATAGCTGCAGTTTTCCTCTTCTTCTTGACCTTTTTCACCTCCTCCTCAACGGCAACCTCCGTCTCCGAAGTCTCAACCACCTCCTTTTCGGCAGGAATATCCTTGCTGGACTCCCTTTCTAGGGACCTCTTTTTGCCCCTTTTGGGATCTTTCTCTTCTCCCACGTTGGCTCGCTCGAACCATATCCTCAGGTCATTGACCCATTCTTCCACCTCCGCGAGCGAAACCTCATACGACTTCACTACTTCGTGAAGTTCCAGCACGGACAGCATACCAGTGGTCCACGAAACCCATTCTCTATCCATCTGGTCAGCATCTCCATTGAACTTCAGGAGTTTGAACAGTGGGTCCGCCTCTGCTCGAGCCAAATCTGACTTGCCATTGGACAGAAATGAAATCGCCTCCATCAACAGTTCCGCCATTTTGGTATCATCGTCATAAACCATGAAATCCTCCTCACCATCATCGAACTGTTCAGGAGAGATCTCCTTTTCTCCACCTTTTGCACCAGAACTTCTTCTTGGGCCGTCCCTTGGGGGCGTCCTTGGAGACCTTGGCCTCTGTTCATCCAGCGGATCACCATGCTCAAAGACACACCTGTCCCCATAACGACACTTCCCAGACTGAGCAAACTGGATGCACCTCACACCAGTTGCATCATGCGAGAACGCACACTCCTTTCCAGCGAAGCAGGGTCTCCCCGCCACATAGTATTTGCACCAATACGAATGCAGCACCACATCATCTTCTGAATGGATGAATTTGCAGTCTTCACCAAATTTGCAGCGATCTTTTCCCCTGCTGAACCAATAGCAGAAGCCTTTCTTCCTCTTCTCCAAGCGCTCCGCCTCGTACCGGTCCATAGGGCGATTCTGCTCTACATGAACATTGCCATGTACCTGAGAACTGCTCCCTTCACCCAAGGTGCTATCAGTATTTGATGCTTGGAGTACAGCTGGAAAACCTGGCCTTGGTCCTACCACCTTCATGATT